GGTTGCCCCCCGGCCCTGGGTTGCCCCAGCCCCGGGGCTTGGTGGGCTTACCCCAGGGCCGGCCCTGCATAAGTGTTTGCCTTCGGATGGTTTCAGGGATATGCACACCGTACGTAAACATAAATATGTGGTGATACTGATTTCATGGACGTTTTCAGAAAAACAAAATCAACATATTTGATTAAATTGTGTAGATTTTACAACATATTTAGATGCAAGGCAACATAAATTTATTGTCTTGAGCGTAAAAAGATGCAGATTTCTGATTTCTTAGATTGCCAGAAATTTCAATGGCTTGAAGAGAAATCACAAGAACGTTTGCTTTTCTACGTTTTGCCTGCTGTTATGCATTTAGACTTCGCCTGTCGATTTGTCTGTGGTCCCTGACATCGTATGTGCACCGAACAGAACTCTTTATTGATATACTGATTTCACATCGATGCAACTTTTCAGTTACTTGCATGATTGAATTCTCTAGATTTTACGAAAAATTTAGATGCAAAGTAACAGAAAGATGATAAATCACAAGAAATTGAACACATCGCTTGATTTTTTATACAGAAATGTATTGAGGGCAACAATAGATATCCCGAGAACTGGAGAAGTTAATATCCACTGCACACATCTTGATCATCTCGATGAAAACTGGAGAATGAAGCAAATCAGTTCAATTCTTCGATCAAGCGATGCTCCACACATTTTAGTCGGAGGACTCAATTCCCTCGATGAAACTGATTACTCTGCTGAAAGATGGAATGATATTGCCAGGGTACAGTAACCAACATTACATAAAGTTTTAAGGCAGTTATATGTGTCTTATTCTCCCTCTATGTTTTGAATGCAAAGATATATGATTGAAGATATTATGCAAATGTACAGTATTATGAGGAGATAGGAAAGCCAACACCAAAAGTTGAAGTGATGAAGTTTCTCAAAGGAAAACAGTATTCAGATGCCAAGAATTTTGCAGGCGAATGCGAATCCGTCGTCATGGTTGCGAAAGGGCAAGGTAATTGCTATGATATTTTGCGTAAATTTTACAAAGCTCCCGTAAATTTTGAGGGATTTAAAAAAAAAACCGTTGAATTTTATGAATCACATAAAACACCTCTGGAACTTGTCTCGCTATGACAGTAACTTTAAGTTTTCCCGTGCTCTGCACCTGACAACTTCTGGACAATTTTACTCCAGTAAACTAAATATACCTTCTCTAGTACCCTTTTCAATAACAGTAGGCAAATGGGTAGTTTATACTTTTTACTCCACATGTTAACTTCGTTTACGAGATTTTCGAAATAGTTCGAGAGGTTTCCTAGTTACAAAGATCAGGGGGTTTTGTGGAGAAATCACAAAGTTCGAAAGGTTTTGTGTAATTTAGCCTAACTTTTGACTAGATGCATATATTCTCTCAAAGGAATTGATTCATTCTACAAATTTCAAACAAAAGTATTCTCTTGCTTTAATTTCAGATGTGCAAGGGACTTGCAAATATGGGACGAGAGTTGATTACATACTAGCATCACCAAATTCACCTTACAAGTTTGTTCCAGGATCATATGGAGTTGTTTCATCAAAAGGGACTTCAGACCATCACATTGTAAAGGTTGATATAGTTATAGATAAGACTACCGAAAACACTAACCGAAAGCCAAAAAAGAGAGTTGTAAAGATAGATAAGGATTCATCAAAAGGAATATGGGGAACTTATTCATGATTGTAGCTTCTCTTTAGCAACTTCTTACTTTTCTATTTTTTGCTAAAATGATGTGTATACCTCTTATTATTGAGTGTGTGAAGAGAGAGAGAAAAAAAAGCCTTATTGTCTTTCTTTCATGTTTTCTTGGAAGAAAGAGAGAATGTCCATTCTTGTAACTATTTCAGTGGAAATGATTGTTATGAACAATACTAACTTTGGCAATGGAATATATGTTTTGTTACTAAAACTTTGGTTATTTTAGTTATTGGCACTTTTCGTGAATGAGTTTAAAGTTTTTGTTAGGATCCTCATAGTGAACAACTTTAGTAGATAATTGCAGCAATTTGGCTACAGAATTTCCAATCATATATCTATTTATTTTTTTCCCCATCATTTTGATTTTCTTATATGGGACCTTGACCTCTGTGTTTCTTTATTCTCTCATGCTCCTTGCAACTTATTTAACTTTCTCAAAAGGAAAATAAAGTAGGTAAAAGGCATTGTATCTTTATCTTCAAAGTTGTTTCCCTCAAAGTAAAGAAGTTGTAATTTATGTTTCTAGTTACTTAAGTGAAAGTGGTCCTTAAAGTATGTCCATCTTTCTTGAATCTTCTTCAAATTTATCACTAATCTCTACAAATAAATTAACTCTAAAAAAGGATTTAGATTATGATTTTACAGTTGATGAGAACTGATAAAGGGGGACCATGAAGTACTGAAGGAGGTATAAAAGCTATTTACTACTACTTCCTCCTTACATATGAAAATTTGGAATCATAATGAAATGATATGGACTGAACTAAACAACAACAATACATATTTGAAATTAGCTGTGTTTGTATTAAATGGACACCAAGAGTGGGCTAAATTGAAACCAAAATTCAACTGATACGCATGTATTAGTGAGCACGCATGTTTGCATACATACACGCATCAAGAGTAAATGGACTTTTAAGAGGCATAACAAATTATTTTTTCCATCTATCTTAAAAAAAAGTTTTATTAATGATTTTCCTAGTACTTTCCGTGTTCTCATGCTAAATATCCGAAATATACAACTGTCTCGAATCCCCCCTTGTCTTCAAAGCATTTGAGGAAGTTTATATGGATTTTCAAGGTAAACATCAATGATATCTGAATTGAGTTTTATTTGCAGTTATCAGTTTGAGAGACTATTAAAAGATTTCGCTTTCGAGTGTGCTGGAAAGCCGTTAAAATTGTTTGTAGTAACATACCGCTTTAGGATGGTCTTTGAATGGATACCTTTTGGTATAAAATCAAACTTGATGTATGACTTATATTGCATACATAAAGCACTTCAATTAAAAAAATTACCCATCTAGGATGAACTTTGAATGGATACCTTTTGGTATAAATTCAAATCTGATGAGTGAGTTACATTGCATACATAAATCATTTTTAAGAAAAATCAACTTTTATATGCTTTGAAGTTCTTAGCACAAAACTTGGCATGTCTTAGGTTATGCATCTCCTGGTCATAGATGCATGGAGCTCCAAAATACCGGACTAAGTATGGATTAAAACTATAAGTGACACTTCCTTGGATCATTTTCTGGCATTTTGAGCCTATTGAAACGAATAAAAAGGACATGCCACCATTCATTTCATTCTCGGTCACAAATTCTCCCATTTTGTTATATGGTTTTCTGGTGTGTTTTCTGCAAAAAGCCAACTGGTAAAAGTAGATAATAAATTTGGTAAAATTCCTATACGATTGCGATAAACTTACAAACAAGAACTGATCAATTCATGCATGTCTCATCATTATTCTAGAAAATCTATTGTATAGAAACTTTTGAGATGTTAGTAGCTCTAGCAAATGCCAAAGGTAACATGAGAAGTTTCTCTGTCCTCCCAACATTTGCACGCTTTGTCAAGTTATCGTAGTCATTTTTCTCGATGGAGTCTAATATCTTGCGGTACAAGAGCAATGAAGCCAAAACCTGCATATAGCATTGCACAAAAACGATCAAATACCATAAGATTCAAAACACTATTTGTAAATTTCACTACAAAAATGATAAGTCTCAACGCACACATGAGTGTGTTTGCGTCGAAAATTGATGTATTCATTGCGGTATTCATTACAACTTCGGTCGTTACAATGAAAACAAAAAGATAATCTTTTTATAAGATCTTTACACAATCTATATACTATTACTAATAAGTGTTACCCTAGGTAATGCCACTTGGCAAAAATAACTCATACAATTATAAACGCCACATGGCAATCACCTCAATTCCCCAGTTCTTCATTTCCCAAGACCGACTCTTCGTTTCCCCAGTTCTTCATTTCCTCAAAACCAATAGCTCTTCGATTTCTCCAATGCCGCTTTGGCTTCCGCTTAGAGCCTTAGGGGCTGTTTATTTTGAGTATTTTGCCTTAGGAAGGGTTCTAGGGTTTTTTTAGCCCCCGCATATCGAAGCTCGATCCCCCCCCAAAAGATGTCTTCGCTTGCGGCGTTCTCCTCTGGCTCCAAGGCTTCGACCTCGGATCTCTTGCGGAGCTCGAGCAGTGGAGTGATTGGAGTGACTCTTAGTATTCTGCGGTGATCGGGAGCGATGAGCGTTGATTTGAGGAGGAGGAGGAGGAGGATGGTGAATGTGATGGCCAAGATCGTGAAGAAGGGGAAGGTGAAGCACGAGTACCCGTGGCCTCACAAGATCGAGCCCGATCCCAATGTCAAGGGAGGGATCCTTAGCCCTTCGAGAAGCCCTCATGGATCTGGAGAAGAAGATCATGCATGTGAGCGAATTTTTCTTTTTCTTTTTGTTACTTGCTATGCTACGAATTATTCTTTGAGCTTTTGATCTTACTCACGAACTTGAAAAGATAGCTTGATTTTGGTCTCATGGTTTGTAAGTACAAAAGATGGCTGTTGAAACTGGACTAGACTCCACAGATTAGATCTTATAACTTGAGTCTAAGTATGAGCAGGTAAATTTTTATTTATTTTTATTTTTTTGAAAATTCAAAGCTCACTTTTTAGCAATTAGGATGCTTTCTTTTTTAAGAAAATAGCCGGTCTTCTGTTCCTAAACTATAACAATTCAGAAAAGAAGGGAGATGTATTGAAACAGTTTCAGAAAATAAATGCAAGAGGAACATCATATTCAATTGAAAAAGTTACTAAAGAATAATTTGTTCAGCATTGATAATAGAGGAGAGTCATCACAAATGCTAAGTCAAATATCTAGCCAAGCATCACAATCTATCTCTGACAACTTCCTGCAATCGGCTGAAAGAAAGAATTTAGATGAGCTACGTGAAATTCGAGAGGTAAAGTGAACAATAATACTTATTTTCATTCTTATATTTCCATTAGTGTTATTGCATGACTCGAAAGTATTGTAAAAGTTATCGTTTAATTCCAGACATCATGACCCATGAGTAAAATTAGAATATGTATCTCTTGATTCCCTTTCTTATTCGGCTTCAGTTTTTTAATTAGTTTTGTTTTTTATAATCATAAGGTGGATATCATTATGATATTCCTCTTCTTATAAACCAGGCGTGCACCGATGTGACGTTGGCGACTATTATATACATTGAGAAAGAATATAATTGATTTTTGAATGCTTGCAATAAGTGTAAGAGGAAGGCAAAGTCTGATGGGGGCAAATTTAGGTGTGACTATTGTCATGAATATGTGAAGGTGGTTGTGCCAAGGTATTAGATCTACTAAACTTGAGATTATAAATTTACTACATAATGCACTATTTATATTATCATGTACCTAAAATCTTAAACAGATACAAAGTACAGATTAGAGTTATTAATTACACTGGAAGTGCTTCATTAGTTATTTGATCGTGAGGTTAGGCAAATAGCAAACATGTCGGTATTTGATTTAAGAGAACTGATGATCAAGGTAAAACATATTATAACATGAATTGCTTCATTAAAAAATGCTTTGTGCTTTCATTTTCTTATTATATGACTCTGTAACTAAATATTAGTTTACTCCATAGTAATCAATCTTTTTCACAGTCCGGGAAAATGAATACTTTTCCTAAATAACTTGATGTGTTGTTGGAGAAATAGTTTTTGTTCAAGTTTCAAATTACAGAATACAAGATCAAGTAAAATTGGTATAGCTATACCGTTGCTAGAATAAGCAACGACAAGAAGGTGATAAGTGTGTGCTACGTAAAGTGTCCTGAATATTAGCACATAATATGCATTTTAAAACCTGGTAGACAACAGAAAAGTGTCCTGAATATGTCTAATGAATGTCCAAGTAGTTGCATATGAGTGTCCAAGGGACTGTCGTATAGAATATATATTCTATTATTCTACACTAATAAAACTTCATGACAAGTGTGTGCTACAAAAAATCTGATCCAAAAAATCTAATCCTTTGTTTTAATCTTTTTTTTGGCGAAACACAATTGTGGTGATTGTGGGACATGCAATTCACATGCCAAGTTTCTGATGGAATTTTGGAAGATTACCAAGCTCTAGCTATTATTTTCAATGGTTGCATCTTTGTAAAAAGACTTACTTCATGTAGTAATTTTTTTTCCTTTTCTGAGTAAAGCGCAAATATTGTCTCTGATATTCCGATTATTCAGAGCTGGAAATCTGGTTGATCAAACTGTGGCTGGGGAATCGGCTGAAGTAACTTCTTCTGTTGGACACGTACAATTAGCGGACTTGCAGAGAATATAAAGAGGCATCCAGTCACCAGGTATTATATCAGTGCTTTTCTGTTTACTTGAAACTACTTCTGCTATATGATTCTGTAAGGCATTTGACATTTTCTTGCTTTTGAATACCATCAGCTGCTGTTGAGGACCCTGATGCAGGTGAAGTCCCATCCAACACTGCAATAAAATTTACGACAATGTTGCATAGAAGATATAGTCTATTAATTTCTCATTTTCTTTTTACCCCTCATACAGGTCTAGGATTAGGGGATATTTTGACACCTGATTTGGTTTCTCCACTGATTGAAAAGTTACAAGTTCAGAAGACTGGTGTCATACTTACCTGAGGTGAGTGCTATTTTCTTAAATCTATTGTGAATGTTATAACGGTTGATGCTCCAGTTCTATAACGATGTTGTGTAATGATTAGGGCCCTTGGACTCCCCAAATTATCACAGAATTATTATTTTCAACTGGTCATTTTTCAGTTGTCATACTTGAATTCGTTGTACTAAGTGAAGCTGAACGTTTTCCCCAAGTCTCATTGCTTCTATATAGAATAAATGTTTCCAAGCACCATCAAAATAGGATGATCTCACAATTGATTATGAAGACTGTAATGTGATATGAAAGCACCATCAAAATATAGATCGAGGAAGCTCGCCAGGAACGTCGTCGTCCTCGCCAGAATCGTCGAGGTGTGTGGTTCGTGTTTGCATTGTAGTTTCTGTTGAATCGGTAGTTTTGTTGTTTTTGCTATTTGGATTATGTGTTAGGGCTCGGTTTTGGTGATTAAATGATAGTAGATGGGATCGGGAGGGAAAATTTTGATCTAGATATGAAAATGGAATAAAGGGAATAATATGGAAGTAAATGGATTGATTGAACTTTGACCATAATAACTGGATCAAAGCTAATCATGCATCTAATGTGGATATCAGCTTTTCTGTAGCCAATCTGGCAAGTGGAGCCTATGTCATTATAGCTGATGGAAGGTTGCAGGCTTAGGTTCAGCATTAGCGAGGTGAGATGTATGAGACCTGGGAGAAGTCATGTTATGTTAGGGTCTACGTAGTCCCATATTGACTAATTAGGGACATTGAATCATGGGTGTTATCTCTGCATGCCCGCTGGTTGTGGTTGGCTTTGATATCATTTATAAGAGAGCGAGGAAACTCACACCTAAAAGCTACGCCTAAATTTTTATAAACCCGCAATTGACACCTTATTATGTCAACATGGGACTGGATGAAGTGCAATATGAAAAAGTTAATACTGACTGTATGTGTGAAATTTAAATAGAAATGTGTGATGGTTCTCTTGGTATTGAGTTCTTGAGAAGAATTTGCGTTTAAACTGTTCGAGAATAGGCCAATGTTGGGCTGTGCAAAAGTGTAATAGGATCAGTTTGGATATTTGAACTTCTCATTAACACGAAATATAAGCATAAGTCTTTGATCTCATTCTTGTGTGCCTGCAGCATTGAACTGGCTCCTTGCTGCATCCTATTATCCTAGACACATCACAATTGAGAACATGCATTGCAGTTGAACCTCATTGTATTTATATGCTTACATCCGTTCGACAATCACTTTCTTAAATAATAATGTTTGCCCATACAACTTTTTCGTGAATTGAAACACAACATTATGGAAAAGCGGGTGTAAGCACCATCAATATAGATTGTGAAGACTGTAATGTGAATTATAATTTGCCATTATAAGAATTGTATAACTATTCTGTGTAAGAATTTTCAAAGTAATTCTTTTATAGTAATCAATCTTTTATTTTCAGATTTCCTCTTTGAAAAGAAGAAAACTGCAAGTACTTTCTCTGATTTCATTTTGTTAGGGTTTTCTGCATAAAAAGTTCTTTTTTTAGTTAGTTTCTATTGGAATTGATTGAAATATAAATCATGGTGATGAATTTGATCTAAATTCTAATTTTTTAAGTTAGAAAACTGTAGGTACATTCATTATTTTTTCCCCTAATATGTTGGTATTAAATTCAGTAGTTATTATTTGGCTAATTCATAGCATAAAATTATTCTATTGAGATTTTAAGTTTTGGATAAATTTGTTAGCTCTATCTGAGCGTGTCCTATAATAAATTTGTTAGCTCTATCTGAATGAACGTGTCCTATAATATATGTCCTAATTATTTGTCAGCATGTTTCCTTGGATCTGGACAACCTGACCGGACTGTTGAGTGCAAAGATATGAGTGGCATGTATAAGATAATTTATGTTTGTCCTGAGACGGTATTAAGGTAGAAGCTTTCTCTCGATTGATATTTTTAAGGTTGGGTAAATAAAGTCGTTATTTACCATGTCGACATTCCCAGAGGTTTTCTTTTTGCAGACTTACAGAACCACTTACAAGGCTTGCAGAAAGTCATGGGATTGCACTCTTTGCCATCGATGAGGTTCACTGCGTTTCAAAGTGGGGCCATGATTTTCAACCTGATTACAGGTCTGTTTTAGTGCTTACTAGCTTGCTTGCAAATCTCTGGCTGCTGGTACTCTTCATGAAGAAATTCTATCTACCTCGGTTATAGTAATGACCTGTCTTATATGATGTTATAGTATCCTTTTTTTGTAGCAGACTGAATGTGGAAATATGGAGTATTTTACTGCATTTCTTTTTCTGTATGTTTAGGCAATTGTCCATACTTAGAAAGAACTTCAGCTCTTGCAATTTAAAATTCTTGAAGTTTGACATCCCATTGATGGCCCTGACGGCTACAGCGACGATTCCTGCTCGTGAGGACATTATCAAGTCTCTGCACATGTCAGAGGAAACAAAAATTATCTTGACATCTTTCTTTCGACCGAACCTACGATTTTCAGTGAGTTATAAATTTTGTGGACTGGAATTAACAATTCATTAGCTTTCTGTACTTGCAATGTAATTGTTACCTCTTTGATTGGAAATTTAAGGCTTGATATCAATTCATTCTTTTAAGGGTAAATTTCACAAACACCTATGAAGTTTTTGGTGGTTTGTACAAAATTGTTTTCATCCATTCAGAAACAAGAGATGGCCATATTACTATATTAGTAATTTTTATGAACCAAAACTTGAAGCTGACCTATTCAAATTTAGTTAAACCTGTTAAAAGCTTTTTCGTAATATCTGAAACCAAAAAAAGGGATTTCCAACCTTATTTTATACTGAAATTCTATAACAAAAATAAAATTAAAAATAAAATTAAAAATGTTAATACAAAGCTAAGGTATAGCTTTTGCTTCTTATTTCAGCATCAAAACAGTGTTTGAATGTAGTTGACTTTGTGAACTACTACAAGTAGAATCATGGCGAATCATATCTTCTAAACACATGCATATTTGACCATATTACTTTGTGTTAGTTAATAGTACTTCCTCTAATTCTTTCCATTCGGCGTTTGAGGTCTCAGAGTGTTAATTATAACTATGTTATCTCAGAATTGATTTAGAGACCATTTGTACCATATAAATTACAATTTCTCTCTGCCTTTTCAATTAACATCCTTGATCAAATTTATGCAATGTTTTACCATTATCACTTTGGATTGGCTATTTATTTTCGCTTTACTATTGATTTCTTGATTCTTCTCATTAATTGTACAATAATCTTTTGCTGCCACATCATTAACATACTAACTATTATGTTAAGCTGGAACACAGGGCTCGCTATCGGTCACTTGTGACAATGAAGTTGGAATTTGTTCCTCGGATAACATTACTCCTTGCAAAAGAAATTTGTTGGAATCTGATATCGAGCACTCAGTTTCAGTAGACTTGATTTCTCCGCAAATGTCTAGCAACAAAAAGCAAAAAAAGTTCAAGATTGAAAGAGAGAATTATAATATTCTACAGAGAGTTTAAGCTACTTTTTTATAAATCTCTATCTGATTCATGATGTCTGAAACTTATATTTAGTATTCTGGTCTAAAACCTTATTCACTAAACTTTTGTATGCACTACATATTTTTTTGGTGGTTTTGCGTTGAGAAACCTAACTACTTGATATGATTGTGATGGATATTTTGTTTATCAATCTATTGATAATTATTGCATTGATTCATAGATATATATATTTGACAAGTATCTCTATGTGCTTTAAATATTTCGTTTGGAACTAAACTTTATGCTGCATACTAATTACTTGGTATAGCAAAATATTATAACATTAGTCATATAGACATGAGACATTTTATCTATTTTGTTATGATAATAGGGAAATTATATATTATTATTGTTTTATTTTGCATTCTTTTGCTACATCAATTTTTGTATATTAGACAAATCCGTGCATCGCACGGGCCTGAAACTAGTGAAAACAAAAGTTACAACTCTCGTCAAAACAAACGCAGAGATCGTTTATCGGTCGTCTGCTTGCGTGGACCACAAAAGAGAATCAAAATGTGGGATCTTGGGGCAAACAGGAAAGAGGCATGTCAAGATCGGAAAGTGAAATCGGGCTTATGCTACGAATGAGGGAAGAAATGACCAACAATCCGAGCTTTTCGGAGATCAAAATTGGGTGAATCCCAGTCTGTTCGGCACACTGCTGCTAACCAGCAATAGGGGCGATTCAGATGATAGAATGACCGTCTCCAATCCTGACAAACTCGTTGAAAACCTGGGGGTCGACTCCACCTCAGCTACAACGCGGGGTGGTTCCACCGAAATGAAATGTCGGGGTGGCGGTTATTCCTCTTTCAAATCGTCGAGGTCGAGCCGAAGTGAGGATGAGAGAAAATGAACGATTTCGAGAGCAAAATCAATGGTCTATCATGTGCGAGAGCTGAAATATTCCGCATTCCAGTGTCCTATCAAAGAATGTATCGATCCGGGTGAACCTGATTAACTTCACCCGTTTGGACGGAAGGGTTCACCCACTCCAACATCTGATCTACTTCAAGCCCACTGGTATGATCTCGTAATAGCAAGCCTGATGGTTCGGTCCATTCCGTTGCACCTTCGGGCCGGCCTCGATTGGTACCCAGCGTCTCAGCCCGCAGTATTAACGAACTGGGACGATATAGAGAATCAATTCCTTGGCTAACTCTTTGATGTACGAGACGAGAGTAATCCATCATGGAGCACTTTTCGATGAGAAGAAGGAAATGATGAGAAGTCGATATTGATCAAGCGAGTTGTCGATAAGCAATGATTGCCGAGATCGATCACGGAGGACTGTCATCCTCCAGACAATGTCATAACAACCTATCTATTAGATATTGAAGTTATGGGAGCGCACCGCTCCACACTTGGAATGAGTTGAAGACGCGCGAGAGGCAAGCCGAACGCTATCCTCCAAGGAAGAAGCGCCGAGTAGAGCCAACGACGGCGCCAACCTGCCGACCTCCGAACTTTGCCTCCCGTGGTAAAAGGCAAGGCACTGCGCTCTGTGTTGGTACTTAATCAACATGTCGACACAGCCAATCGAAGCAGCAAAGAGACTTCGATCCGAGACTGGCCCAGACTTCCAAAAAGAGTACTCCTTCAAAGGCGAGAGAGTTCCAGCCTTATTTCGAGTCCTCTCCTTGAAAATCAACGAAGATAGCTACGCACCTATCCAGATCAGGAGTAGCTGTAACATGACGGATCGGCGAAGTTACTGGCGTAACCACAGGGATCTTCATCCTTACCAAGGCTTGCTTCGCTTCTTAAGAATAGCTCCAAAACCTTGGGTGAAGCCGGCGTTATATCCTCAATTAGCCGAATGAACACTGCCGAAAAAGTATACGAGTATATAACTGCTTCTCATCCTCGACCGGTATAACAGTTAAAAAAACTGCTCCCTGAACTGGGGTCCAATAGGTATATGAGTCTACATTGTTTCCTACGTTGACCGGGAGTCCTGGAAGAATTTTTTTTTAATATGTATATTCTTAAGGATAAGCGGATCATGTACCGAATGTAATGATAACCTTTGTGGCAGTTTCGGCGAAGAGGGGGGTGGAGTGATTCATGTAACACGGGTAAGTTCGCCCGAAAAATACTATACTGTATTTTCTTAGGGATAACGATCGATTATACAAACAAGTGTTAACCAAGCGGCGCATGTGAGTTCGAACCTCCTTGTGCTGAACGAGATTCGACTCGCTTTGTTGATGAATTTCCTCACAAAACTTCCTATTGGTGTTTGACGACAATCAATCTCCTCACAAAACCCCTACTGATCAAATCAATTGCGGGTGGCTCACTAAAAATTTCATCCGTCCATTCATGATACATTTTCAAAGCTTGACGTTTAAGGTCAGTCAGTAGAATCCATAAATTTCCATCGAGTGCTAAGTAGAACCAATATTTACGTCGCTACTTGTATTTCCACTGCCTTTGCTTTTCAGGTCAACCTATAAAAGTTAGGGCCAAAGCCAGATTTCCCTCTCGATTTCTTTCATGAACGAGAAGGTGCCACTTTCAATTGAGCAATCACTTTTAAAGTATAGGATTGTCCAACTTCACTTAGTCAAACCTCGCAGATAGTTAGACTAGAGATTGAGTTTCCCTTTCGATAAACGAAAGACTTCTCATCTTTTCCTGTTTCAGCCAAACGTATAAAGTTTTAGGGTCGTAATAGAATTTCCCTCAATATAATAGGACCTTTTCTTGAGTCAGGCACAAATGCCTATAAAAGTTGGGTTACTTGAATCTTTCGATTCCTCGAGTGGAGAATCCACTCTCCTAGTTTCATTTCCGCATTCTGGGGGTGGGAGATCCACTTGAGTTTCCTTTCCAACTGAAGATAGAAATAAAATCTTACCTCTCGTTGGCCAGGAAGATTAGAATGATAAAAATTCTTCCTCTTCCCATTTTGGGTTCGTCTTACCTGAACAGACACAATTCTCGAACTTCATATCGGTACATTCGTATGCACGGGAACTTTATCCCCGAATCCTAAGAAGGACTAAGGTCAAACGCACTAACACGCTTGCCGTTTAAGTCCTTTACCGATTGAAAAAGAACAAGCATCCAAGTCGGGGTATTTTATCCCGCGAAAAACCTACCGTAGGGATAGTAGTCAGCGCTTAAACCCCGCTTGCTGTGGTTCGTTCCGTACAAACGACCGGGAGTCTACGTATTCCACATCGTACAACAAATCAATGCTTTTTATGCATGGGAATTTTATCCGAGCTAAGGAGGGATAAGTCAAATGCTAAACACGCGTGTTGCAGTGGTGTTCTTACCAGTAGAAGGACAAAAGCTCACATATTTCGACATGTGGCATGGCCGTTATTATTACGCCAACCGCGCACTTCCACCGCCGGAATTTTATTCCGAACCACTAGTAGGGTAAGTCACCGCCTAACTCGCGTTGTCCGTTAGGTTCTGTTTCAACGCGATTGAGAGAAGACGACCAGACTTCCAATCTGGGGGACTTTTATCGCGCGAAGCTAGTAGGGATGGTCAGCGTTAACACCACTACGGTAGCCGTATTCCGGTATACAATGGCAAAATCGTCGTATTCAATATCATAGCCAAGTTCTAGGGAGTTCATTCTTAGCACAACCGTCACAATGCGGAACGGACTTAAACAATTCCGCATGCAACCCGATTCAATAACGGTACTCGGTAAAGGCCGTCAATCCGTTGAAGGCTGAGGTTCCAGAAACTTAAAGTCACGCCTTATAACGCTCGCCGTTTAGTCTTCAGCGTGAGAAAGAGGAAGTCTACGTATTTCAATAATCGTGGCACTAAAGGGTTAACTCTTTAGCAAAAAGTCACATGCGGAAACGCCTAAACATTCCATGCTACCCGACTGAAACGTAGTCGGTAAAAGGCTATCAAACGCCGTTGATGGCTGAAAATTTCCACAAGTTCTATAAATGCGCGTCATTGCGTAATCTACTTCATGTGGTGTGTGGGTCTCGGACTGGATTTGTAACATCCACAAAACTTCAGGATAGGATCTTAGTGCAGCCGATGAGCTCTTTAAATAGTTTGTCCTTGCAGCCAACGATTCGCGACGCGTCACGTCCTCCAATCCTTAAGAGCTTAAACTGTGTAGCTCGCAGCAGACAGTAGCGAGTATAAACTTGTTAAAGCTGTTAGAATCGCGTTACAAATTAAAAGTCACGCCGGGACAACTGGGCGGTCTATAGTGAATAGTCGATGCTGGTCAGTGCATGCATCTCGCAAAAATAAGTGCAGGGGGCGGGGATTATCAGGCGTTCTTCAGGTTCAGATTGAATTTCTAGAGGAAGAGTCAGTCAAAGGTCAAGTCATTGGCGAGCTAATTTCGAAAGCTTACGGCATCAATGCAGATCCAAGACCTTCGACGAGGTCAGACGATAAACCCCCAAAAAACACTCGCAAAATTCATGCTATTGACAATACTGAATAGACTGAAGGCTGAAGAAAGTCAATATTGAAGGCAATTCTCAGGTCCTTTGATGTGATTCCTGCAATGAAATAATGAAGAGATAACGACATGGCTTATCTATCCAAAGCATTCAAGACTTTATCTATAATAGAATGAGTCTGAAATATTTGAGGGGTATCTGTAGGCGTCAAAAGGTGCCTATCGAGTTTCCCGTGTACGCCTCTCGAGGCGAAATAACAGACGATAAGCGTCATCGATCCAGTCAGGAAGGATTTATCTGCCCGGCATGAAAGAAACGAATATACTAAGTGAGTGCATGTGGAGTGTCACAAGTCATCAGAAGACGAAATGCGCAATAAGCATAGTTCGGAGAATCACAAAGTGCGATTACACCCAAAGGTGGCCCGTAAAAGTAAGAGCATTTAGACGCATGGTAGATTTGAATGTCTAAAAAGCTTCAAAACATGAAAGTTGTAAGGTCTCTTCGTGAAGCTTTCCTACACAGTTTCGAATCCACCTCATTCTGAGATCGGACGATGAGTTTCTTAGTCAAATACCCAAGACCATTTACCGTTTTTACGCCACCGAGATACACAATTGTGTCTGCGAGAAAATAGAGATTTTGGCGATGATGTGGTTTTAAAGAAGAGATCTTAAAACATTAAGTTGTAGGTCTCTTTGTTATCTTGCCAAAACATCTCGCATCACGCTCAATCGGAGGTCAT